GGGGGGGGGATTGTTAATTTGTGAGAATTTTTAATTTGATGAAGGAATTGTGGTATTCTGTAAAGCAAGAAATGTGTCTGTTTTGTATCGTCGAGGCATAGCAATAGTTTTCACAAAAATTGACCTCAGAGAATAAATAATTTTATTTTTATTTTATTTTAGTGGAGATCCCAGCAATGTGCCACAGTGCATTACTACTGTTCCTTACTTCAGAGCTTGAAGTTACTACACTTTCACTCCAGCTGGAAGTTTGAGGCCTGTATAGTCTAGGTTTAAATATGCACTAAGCCAGTAAAATTGGAAATATATGAGTATGCAATGATAATGGAGTGCCTCAGAAAATCAATAAATCAATTTCAGCAATAAACCTAACGGAAGAGCCTTCTTATTCATTCCAGGAAACCTCCTTTGCTTGGCAAGTAACTGAAAGGGCTTTATTATGTTATCAAAAGGAGCCTAAATACATTTGCAGTACATGTTTTGTTTGAACGTGTAAACTATTCATACAGCATCACGCTAGTTGCACTGTAACTTATTTCGGAAGAAAGCGCAATGTTTTCGTAATATGAGGTGACGTAAAAGCGTGCCGCGCGTTCGCTCTGCCCCTCCCTCTGCTGTTGTCAACGAGCATTCTGATTGGCTGAGGCTCAGAAACGAGTACTCTGATTGGCTGAGGCAACGAATCGAGCAGCGTGATTGGCCCAGGCCTGGAAAAGAGCGTTTGGGGATCCTCGATGTACAGGCCGCAGTAGTGCTACCGTTGGAAAATTAACGATAATAAATCACGACAGATTCGCGGGGATCCGAAACTCTTCAGCGCTCCGAAGGCAGTCGCGGAGCAGGTAAAGCGTTTTGGATTTGTGCGGCAGGTCTGTGAAACGGTCGCCGGCGGCCCTGTCGGCCTGCGCTGCGCGAGGAAGCGCCAAAACTAGTCCCTGCGGCCACCACGCGCCTCGCTTTTGGCGCAAAAAGCAGTCATGTACGAAGTAAATACAGAAAGTACATCTGGCCGTCGCGTTTTTGTTGTATTCCGGGTTGTGTTGTAGTCATTTACGTGTCGCCATATTAGGTAGCTAATGCTATTAGCCGTTTAGCATGTAGTGTAATGGCGGAGGGCAAGATGGCGCAGTAACGAGGCTGCATTCGCGCAAGCTTTTAACTGCGTGTTTCTTGTGGTATATTAAAGTGGATCTTACACCCTAATATAGTATTTTGTGTATATTTCTAATTGTATTGAGTCGATGCAACGATAGTAACTTTGTTTCGAACGGACCGGTTATGCTCAATCGCGAAGCCTACTATGGCGACGGCTGGCCTCATGAATATTAATAGGGTCGTTCAGACGTTGCGTGGGGACTGCGGGGGTGCGTAAGGGCACGTAACTAAATTAATATTCATGAGTCCAGCCGTTGTCGTAGTAGGATTCGTAATTCGCCACCGGTATGCTTTGACTAGTTTATCACAATAATCACTGCCCTGATCAAAAGCACTGACAGCGATTTCACACACTTTCTTAGACTCTACAATTATTATTTTTTGTAAATATTACGTTACTGTTCGTCTGCTCAGGGACTAAGCTTGTTTTCACATAGAGATATGTGACGTCATGTTGGAAGTCCCCTCACAGCATTGTTATATTTCTCAAGTTGTTACTAAAGTCTAATGTAGAATTAACCGTATTACTGCACTCATGCATAATGTTAAAAGTGTTATAATGGTAAGAATTAATTGTCACATGAACTTTCTAAATGACAAACTGTCTCACACACATATGTAAACATTTATAAACCACAGTTTATTTTGCATTGATCTACGTTTTGGGATATTCTTTTTTTTTTCTCTCCAAATTTTATATTTGGAAACAAACAGGAATTTGTCATTAAAATCTCCCCGAGGTAGTATGTTTTGGGATATTCTTTTTGTTTCTCTCCAAATTTTATATTTGGAAACAAACAGGAATTTGTCATTAAAATCTCCCCGAGGTAGTCTCTAGATTACATACAATAGTATAAACACTATTTCTTTCTTTGTTTCTTTCAGACACTCTCCTCCCAGATGCCAGATCCACAGATTTGCTTCATGTTTGTGATGCTTTCACGTGACGGGAACTACTGTCAAATGTGAAGGTTTGTTAAATAGCAATGCAAGCGTTTACGCTCACGTGAAGAGAGGATTAATTAGGAATGAATTGTTTAATGAGTATTCGTTGTGATGGATTTTCTGTCATTTGGTGTGTTTTATATACATAAAATTAATATTTTTTACCACACAGCAGTCCTTTATTTATTTACATTCTTTGTCTGTTTTGCAGTATTGTGGAGCAGTCACAGATAATGGATCAAGGTGGAGGGATCCTGGAGCTTCACAAGGATTTAAAAATGCCCCATACAATGATAATGCCAGATTTTGGTAAGGAACCGTCACTGAAATAGTGAGTCAGTTAATTAGCATTGCACTGAATGATGATTTTATATGTTTGTTTGTTTGTTTATGATTCAACATAATTAAAGGCTTTTCAACTTCCAGCTGCCATGTACAGTGCACAGTTTGTATTTTGATGGATGTAAATAAACAGTTTATTTGATTTCAGCAACTTTATGTACATTTCATTTTCCCCTCGTTAAACTGTGCTGTGTGTACATAAGCACACATACTGGTCGTCACTTAAAGGATTAGCTCACCCAAAAATGAAAATTGTCATAATATACCGTATTGGCCCGAATATAAGACAACCCTGATTATAAGACGACCCCCCTTTTTCCAGATGTACCTTTTGGAAAAAGGCTTTTTAAAAACCAAATCTTGTTTTTTCTCAGTAAAACGCATTTTGTCTTCAATTATTTTCATATTGCATATTTTTCCTATTTTAATTTTTGTTTTGAAAGTATGGCTAAAAACTGGTAAAATGTACCAACAATCACATTTAAAAAATATACACTGTTTGATATACCATTAAAAAAAAAAAAAAACAGGTAGCCCATCTGAATTAGGACATTTAGGCTATCCATCTAATAGTAGCCTACCAAAATCTTATTAAGAGTAGAAGTTAAATCTTACTGTAGTCTTCAAATCTGGGTACTGTCTTACGTTTTAAAATCACAAAGGGAGTTTGGTCCCATCAGGCTAACGTGACAGTCACGACTCATGCAGCTGTAAGCTTTTCTTTTTCTTTTGTTTTTACTCGCGATCTTTACAACACGCATTACATTACGTATTTCATGGCACACTCGTTTTATGTGTATTTGGCGCCACCTATTGTTGTGGGTGTATTATTGACATCTTTGTCACCTTTTTCGTTTGTCGAGTTTGCATCTCTGCCTGAGAGGTTTCTATCTCTCCATTTAATGTCCATGTAACCAAAGCGGTTCATCATGTAAAGCTATCATGTCTCTTCACATGACGTGGTTTAAACTGCTCAGTTTATATGGATTCTTTTTAAGGCACCTTTATGATTTTTTTGGGGTTACTTAAGTTTTGGTTACCTTTACCTTCAATAGAGAAACAGAAACCTTTCATGTTTCATTAAAAATATCTTCATTTGTGTTTGGAAGATTAACCAAAGTCTTATGGGTTTGGAACAACGTGAGTGTTAGTAAATGATGACAGGACTTTGATTTTTTTCTCTCTTTGATGGAAAGAAATACCCCAATATTTATCAAGCACTGCATTGAAAGACTTTTCAAGCCTCACATACAGTCAAACCAAAATGTATTCAGACACCCTTCTCACATTATCACAGTTTATTCGCTATAGTTTAGAAAAAGGTAATAAAATATGACAAGAACTCAGAGTTAAACTGTGTCAGAACAAATTCATCTTGATAATGCTAGATAACTTTGATAGAAAGGTATGTAATGAATTCAGCTGAATATTTGTCGGCTGTTAAATTTAAGAACACAATTAGATAATACCAATTTAGTTCAACCAATTACCAAGCAATGCTTCATTTTGTTCAGTCTTCGGTGTAAAAAGATCGCATTAGCAATCAAAGAAAAAACACTTAAGCAAAACATGCTCAGGTCAAAGTGTCTGAATAATTGTTGCTCCCAAATTTTGATCAGTTTTACCTGTAGTCCACTGCATGAAGAATGTTTAGGTATAATATGTCACAGTTCACTTTATTTTGCTATCCTCACTTACATAAATGAACTATAGTGTCCTGCACCCACTAGTAAAATAAAATATCAAAAATGATATCTGGTGTCTGAATAATTTTTGGTTTGACCGTACATCTAGACATATGTATTGTGATGTTCCTCTGTGCAGTTGCAGGGATGGGAGGCCTGGCCCACATTGACGGCGAGCACATTGTGGTGTCGGTGCCGGAGGCCGTGATGGTGTCGGATGAGGGCATCATGCTGGAGGCTGAGGTGGTGGAGGGGCCCGACATCTGTCACGAGGACGCCCTCACCACCGAGGGCGTGATCATGGCCGAGTCCATCCTGGGGGCCGAGGTGGCCATCCAAGAGGCTCTGGGCGGCACGGCTGATCTGATCGAGGAGACGGTGCCCGATCAGGTGTTTGTGGCTGAGCTCATGTCTCCTCACGATCAGAGCCCGCTGGACCACGAGCTGGTGTCCGCAGAGGTCATGGTGACGGACACGGAGACGGTCATCCAGGCGTCTGACGTCACCATTAAAGCAGTCGATGAGGAGGAGGAGGAGGAGGATGCGAAGAGCACTTCGGAGGACTACCTCATGATTTCCTGTGAGTTTGCTGTTACGAGGATTGATGGATCAGGGCTTGCCGCTTACCTTTTTCCCAAGGAGCACATGTGCTCCTCAGTTGAAAAATTTAGCTACGC